GGCTCATACATTTCTAAATAGTATCTTCTCATACATTTTACAAGATGAGACTGAGCTGCCAATAATGATGATGATATTATATATATATATATATATATATATATATATATATATATATATATATATATATATATATATATATATATATATATATATAAACAATTAATAAATGCACACAGACAGAAAAAGATAGAAGATTGACATTACCTTTTAACAGTAACAATCAAGAAATGCATGGCAAATGAACATGATGAAATAAAACTGAGAAAGAAAAAAAATTACTTAAGTGATTTAAAAACAGAAAGGCATAGCTCTCCCATTTGTGAAGTATAGTGTCAGAATGACACCCACAGTCACAAGCTAGAAATATTTCCACTCCCTACTGCACTATCTTGGGGAAAATAACATATATATATATATATATATATATATATATATATATATATATATATATATATATATATATATATATATATATATATATATATATATATATATATATATATATATTCCATTGTATTTGTCTTATTAGGATATGATATTTAAATGACAAGAGGGTATCAAGTAATACCATAAATGACAGATATTGTGAAGGTGAAGTTTAAGATGACCACCTACCTGTATTCATTAAGTCAGTAGGGTGATGAAAGAATTCTTATTGTGAACATGAAATTTGAGATCAGTTTTCCCCACACCATATATTTTTGTAATATTAATGTTCTACATTAACCTCCCACATTAGTATTTTGCAGATTATAGCTCAGTGTCTTGGCTTTTTTATTTGTAAATAATTAAAAAGATGGCATCACAAAAATGTAGCCTCTTGTTGTCAATTTTTGTCTTGATTAATTTTATATTGTTTGACCAAGATAATTACTTTTGGTATAATTACGACAATCAGAACCTCACTCCTCTTTTCAGTATTCCATAGAGCATACATGTACTCTTAATAGCTTTACAAACATTTGACAAGATTTGATTATGAATTTACAAAAGTGTACTAATATATATATATATATATATATATATATATATATATATATATATATATATATATATATATATATATATATATATATAGATATATACACACACACACATATATATATATATATATATATATATATATATATATATATATACATATATATATATATATATATACATATATATATACATATATATACACACACACACACATATATATATATATATATATATATATATATATATATATATATATATATATATATATATATATATATATATTTTGTGTTTGGGTAATGCAAATAATGTAGTGATGTTTGACAAATATTGACTATTTATCTTAAATATTATTAAGACATTTATACTTAATCATGATATAATGATACAACTGTTTTATGTTAAGATATTTTTGGGATTCCTGCCTGTGTTGGCTATCTGTGTTGATAACTATTATCCAAGCAATTACATTACTTTCAAATGTAACATTAATTACATTACCTTTCAAATGTAATTGTAATTACATTACCTTTCAAATGTAACAATAATTACATGACCTTTCAAATGTAACATTAGTTACATTACCTTTCAAATGTAACAATCCAGAAATGTATGGTATTTGTGACCAAGTTTAAATGAGATTGGGATAGAAATAAGGAGTAGACATTGGAACAGAAGCAGAGGGGTATGTCTCTTCCCTTAGGGAAGTAGGTTTTCATTGTGATACTCATTGACTCTGTCACAAGCTGTAAATGATTCCACTCCCTGCATTGCCTTAACAAGGAAATAACAATAACATGGATATACTTTTCTTATATTCTTATGTATGTGATATATTTAAATGACAAAATATGGCTCAAGAACAACATATTACAAATAGAACCGCTCCGGTGGCCTAGTGGTTAGAGTGTCTGTCTCAGAGGTCGTGGGTTCGATCTCCGGTCAAGTTATACCAAAGACTTACAAAAATGGTACTAACAGCTGCCTAGCGTGATGCTCAGCATTAAGAGGTTAGTGTTAGGACTGATCGGCCTGGCGTCAGGATAATGTGACTGGGCGGGACATCATGCAACATGTCTACGGCATGATGCCCCAGTGCTGGACATCACTATAAACTGCCACACTGCAGACATCGTAGCGATATGACTGAAAAATTGTTAAAGATAAGCTAAAAATTATAAACACCTTATTAACACATATTACAAATGTGAAGTTTAAGTAACAATCTAGTTGTATTCATTAAGCCAGTAGTATGATGAAAGACTACTTATTGTGAACAATTAAGAGGATGATCTACCTGTATTCATTAAACCATTGGTATTGTAAATGTCATTGTATTGGGAACATTAAGTTTACAATGATAATCTACCTGTATGGAGTTAGCAGAGGCATAATTAATGACGATAATGTGGACATGAAATCTATGATGATAATCTACCTGTACTAAGTTAGCAAGAGGCATAACAAATGATTATATTATTGACATGAAGTCTGTGATGATAATCTATATGTACTGAGTTAGCAAGAGGCATAATAAATGATTATATTATTGACATGAAGTCTGTGATGATAATCTACCTGTACTGAGTTAGCAAGAGTCATAATTAATGACTATATTGTGGACATGAAGTCTGTGATGATAATCTACCTGTACTGAGTTAGCAAGAGGCATAATTAATGACTATATTGTGGACATGAAGTCTATTATGATAATCTACCTGTACTGAGTTAGCAAGAGGCATAACAAATGATTATATTATTGACATGAAGTCTGTGATGATAATCTACCTGTACTGAGTTAGCAAGAGGCATAATAAATGACTATATTGTGGACATGAAGTCTGTGATGATAATCTACCTGTACTGAGTTAGCAAGAGGCATAATAAATGACTATATTGTGGACATGAAGTCTGTGATGATAATGTACCTGCACTGAGTTAGCAAGAGGCATAATAAATGACTATATTGTGGACATGAAGTCTGTGATGATAATCTACCTGTACTGAGTTAGCAAGAGGCATAATTAATGACTATATTGTGGACATGAAGTCTATTATGATAATCTACCTGTACTGAGTTAGCAAGAGGCATAACAAATGATTATATTATTGACATGAAGTCTGTGATGATAATCTACCTGTACTGAGTTAGCAAGAGGCATAATAAATGACTATATTGTGGACATGAAGTCTGTGATGATAATCTACCTGTACTGAGTTAGCAAGAGGCATAATAAATGACTATATTGTGGACATGAAGTCTGTGATGATAATGTACCTGCACTGAGTTAGCAAGAGGCATAATAAATGACTATATTGTGGACATGAAGTCTGTGATGATAATCCATCTGCACTGAGTTAGCAAGAGGCATAATTAATGATTATATTATTGACATGAAGTCTGTGATGATAATCTACCTGCACTGAGTTAGCAAGAGGCATAATAAATGACTATATTGTGGACATGAAGTCTGTGATGGTAATCTAGCTGTACTGAGTTAGCAAGAGGCATAACAAATGATTATATTATTGACATGAAGTCTGTGATGATAATCTATATGTACTGAGTTAGCAAGAGGCATAATAAATGATTTTATTATTGACATGAAGTCTGTGATGATAATCTACCTGTACTGAGTTAGCAAGAGGCATAATTAATGACTATATTGTGGACATGAAGTCTGTGATGATAATCTACCTGTACTGAGTTAGCAAGAGGCATAATTAATGACTATATTGTGGACATGAAGTCTATGATGATAATCTACCTGTACTGAGTTAGCAAGGGGCGTTATAAATGACTATATTGTGGACATGAAGTCTATAATGATAATCTACCTGTTAAGTTAGCAAGAAGCATAATAAATGACTATATTGTGGACATGAAATCTAGGATAATCTATCTATACTGAGTTAGCAAGAGGCATAATAAATGACTATATTGTGGACATGAAATCTATGATGATAATCTACCTGTGCTAAGTTAGCAAGAGGCATAATTAATGACTATATTGTGGACATGAAGTCTGTGATGGTAATTTACCTGTGTTGAGTTAGCCAGAAGGATGCTAAGGGACCGCTTCTATGATGAGAATTTGGATGCAGTATATCTAGCGCTGATAGGATATTGAAATGGAATCCAAATACTTTATGGTAAGTTGATATATTTTATTTTTATCACATTGGGGTGGGTGTAGTGATACAGAACCCACTGAAAACACCTACTGATTATCAAGTAAAAGTTAAAAAAAAGTGAATTTTGGTAATAATGTTTATATTCCTCGTGTATTAAATATTACAGTTAATGTATAATCCAGATTATTTATACAATTTTTAAATTAATATCAAATAGTCTAAAGAGCAATTATTAAAAACAATTTAGTATGGAATAGGCTGAATATTGAAACATTTACTTTACTGTATGAAAAACAAAATTAAAGGTAAAAAAATTACCTTGAAAACTTGAAAGATATGACTTTGCATATTATAACAGTACACAGAAGTTGGAGGTAAATATGCATTATATTAAGGTTGTTTATAGGTAATGATCACTTTTGAAGTCTTGTATGCTTTTTTTTTTTTAAAAAAAAATATGAACATAATTTTTTAATCATTAAAACAATCCAGAATCAATCCTCACTATTTTCTACCACTTGGACATATTCTGCTGGGACAGTAAAGTACTTTCAGCATCAAAGTTGAATTCAGTAGGAAACACATTACATGTTTCCAAGCCAACAGTTATATATATATATATATATATATATATATATATATATATATATATATATATATATATATATATATATATATATATATATATATATATACACACACACACACACACACACACACACACACACAAATGGAATATTCTTTTTGTCAATTGTGACTTTTTGGGATTGCAATGTTTTTGTTCTAACTTTACTATGCTAAGCAATAAACTCAATTCTGTAACAGAGCTATCCTTTATAAAGCTTGTAATAACAGTAATATTACAAAAATGAACCACTCCAGTGGCCTAGTGGTTAGAGCACCCGCCTCGGTTGTGGGAGGTCGTGGGTTCGATCCCAGGGCGAGTCATACCAAAGACTTACAAAAATGGTACTAACAGCTGCCTCGCGTGGCACTCAGCATTAAGAGGTTAGAATTTGATTTGAGAGGTTAGAATTAAGAGGTTAGAATTTGATTTGCATGAAATTGTTGCTTGTCCTAGCACTATTGAATTTATTCCTGTACGATTGGAATTATATGTTGGGTTAGTAGCAGCACTATGATACAAAGACATATGTTGGCAGAACAACATTTTTATCATGAGGTGATCGCCAATGATGTAATTTTGCCCAGAACGAGCAAATGTCAATACAAGGTATGAATTTATGGGTGGAATAAATAAGGATCTGAACCGATGTATAGAACAGATTAACACAAGTCCCTTTTACAAATGAAGACAAAATTTAATCAAGTTTCAGAGCAATAAAAATTCACAAGCAACTGATATGAAACAATACAATCTTGAAAGATATGCTTCTTTCGTTTGAATCAACTTACTCAAGGAATTTCAAAATACAAATAAGATTAGATAAATAGCCAATGTGTTATCAAACGAATCAAAGCATCATTTTAAACAAATGTGGGATTCATAACCTGGTGTTCGATTCCATCGAGAGTCCACTCAGACTGTTCCTCTTGACTCCCTTACACTGGTAGGTCTGGGTCTTCTACTCATTTTCTTCCCCTTTCCAAATTCTCAGGTATCTCAACTGTTTGGCCTTTCCAACTTTATGTAGTCCTTTTCTGGATTGTAAATCATGAGTCTTCCCCTTAAGCTATCTCACCTTGCGAAAATATAAATAAAAGCACCCTAAATCTTCCGTCACATAATATGGAGGATAGCTCATTACTCTCACCCTTGAGGTCAGATGTGATTCTATCATATATTGATGGTTATTAAGTCTAAATGGTCTCCGATGTGATTCTATCGTATTCAAACAGACCTTGGTAGCTATTAAGTCTAAATGGTCAGGACATACCTTACAGCCTAGTTTCACACAATTAATGGTTTGCTAATGGTCATTTACGCCACACGGAGACTTAATCTAAATCACAAATTAAGGATTGAAATTCCGTACTCTAGGTTATATAACAAATACACACAATAGAGTCATTATCAGGTCGGAGAATATTCGTAAACTCTACATTCCAACAATTCGCCAAATGTATAAAAATAAATAATCATTGTAGGAATTCAGATAAATGAGCTCAATACAGTTATTTCTAGATATATAATTTCCTGTATAGAATAAACATGAAATTCGGGATACATAATTGCCTAAAAATTCGAGACTATAACTTAAGCAAGCTGTCAATGTATATATAAAGAAACATATCATTATGCTAACTCGGGTAAACGAACTTAACCCAAATATACCTTATTATGAAAATTGATCTACGAACTTAAATACACGCAAATACAAGTAATTAAATCAATCATCATATTAGTATTAATTAGCTACATTTAGTTAAAATACCTTGTGTTTGCAAGCTTTTTGGTCTGTCACTTCTCCAGACAATCGTTTTCCCTTGGATGATTTTACAAGAAATGTACTTATTAAATTTTTGAAGTCTCTTAAGTTCTAATGTTCGTTTCCTCTTGTAGAAAAGCGTAGACTAAATTTTCAGATGCTATTAGCACAATTTAAACTGATAGTTTTCGTGTGAAACCACGCCCACTTCCACAGCGTGTTCAGTCTGAATGAAATAAAATTCCCTTTTCACAAGGCTTGAAATTCTGCAATTCGTCTGACAATAACAGTTACGAAACTGTCACTGGCAGCCTTCCGAAATGTCAGTTTCTATACAGATCAGAAGTTGAAACTCGATCATGGTAAGTTTAAAAAAACGAAGCATTTAATTATATATCGATAATTCCTGACTTTGCTTGAATCAATCCGTACATTATGACTATTTAAACATGGTCAGGTCTCCATAAATCTAATTAATCGTACACGTGGCGAACTAAATGTTGCCTACAGAGATTAACAACAAAACAAGAGATTGGCCTAAACATTTTTCCCTTACATAGTATATTGGCTTAAAACCATATTCATAAAGGACATCAACACATGTCCAGGTTGTAATAAAATTATCACTTGCTGATGCCTATGTATTTGGATAATTGGCAAATGGCAATCTGAAATCTGTTATACCATGAAAGATGTATTGCAACACATGATTGGCCATTTTACTTTCTACTTTACCCATGCTGCATGTAGGTATCATCTTTATCTCTGGACCAGAATAAGTTAGACCAGCCAATGATTTACCAGATTTAAAATGAACAATTTGCAAAACTTATTGATTTGACCTATCGCCACCTGTCAGTCACGCTTGATAATTTAACCAATCAGCGAGCGTAAATTAGACACCTCCAGCATTGCTAAAATCCGCCATTTTCCTCCGATAAGCTGCTCTTAGAAACAACCAATCGATCATGATATGTATTTACAATTTTGAAATAATTCGTTGATTTCTCAATCGATATTAGTGAAAACAAGGCTTGTAATTCTGACAGTCAATATCCAGATTGTCTAAATGGAGGAATTAGATGTATTCCTTTCCCGAAACAGACGAAACTTTGATGGATAACGATTTTTCAGCTGAATAAAGACACAATTGATGGTAAATACAATGTGTTTGCATAAAAGTATGTCCCGTCGATAGTTTGAGAAAACCCCAAGATATATATAGAACCACCGACCCACGAGAAGCTACAGGCAAGCTTTCTCACATATCCACATTTGCCGAATCCTAGACTCGAACCCACACAGACAGAGGTGAGATGGCAGTGATCCGTAACGGACAGCGCTTTAGACCACTTGGGGCCCATATATATATATATATATATATATATATATATATATATATATATATATATATATATATATATATATATATATATATATATATATATATATATATATATATATATATATATAAACCTTTCAAGGATATAGGTGGAGAACCACCAAATTTTAGGACTTTGATCTTTGATGTATATTATTTATTCTTGTATAGGAAACACTGAACCCAGGATTGCATTTTTTTTTTAAAGTTTGAAAATGTACAGTTTAATGTTTGCTTGTCCCAAAATAAATTATATATCGCCTCGATCTTTCAGACACTACAGTGACGCTTTATATTTTTATTGGGTTGAAGTAAGGATGGTGATACAAAAATGTAATTAGTAATAAAGAAATACGAAATAAAGGTTTCAAATAATTATCTTCCGATATGTTGAACATGCATTTACATGTTTACATCAACAGACATAATTGATTAGAATTCGATCTTACTAACATAGCATACCTTAACATTATTATCTACAACAGTATAATTCTAAACAGCAATCATTTACGATTTTTAAAATTAATTTTTAATTTTATACTTACAAGGCAGCATAAACAGAGGTCAGAAAATTTAGCAATGATATCATTATATGCTAAATGCATGAGCATATTTTGAGGCAATTTTCTTTTTATATTAATAAATTCGTACACAGCTTTACAATTGATTATCAATATCTACTGAAAAAATACTTAGGTTATTAATGTACAACCTTGAAATACATACATAAATGTTGTCTAATGCAGTATAATTAATGCAACTTTGTAATTTTATATTTTTAATGAATAATATAAATCACCATAAATAACCATATCACGTAAACTGAAACATTTTTTGCCAAATACTGTATGTTTGTCTGAGGTTATGTCACGTGATTTGGTATGCGGAGCGATCTGTCGTCTGGCGTAAGGTCAATTGACATTTTATCTTAAGAAAAACCTCCCAAAAGTCCTTTTGTGTCACATTGTGTCTTTTTGCCTCATACAACATCCGTTCCATCATTTGTGGTATTTTTTCAGGACCATGACATACAGCATTTTTATATAGTGATAGTAACTGCTCCTATGGGAGATGTAACCAACCGTTTTTAGACATCTATGTAAGCAGAGGGATGTCTGTTGTACAAAGTTATTGCCATACTGATAACTTCCCTTGGCCATCTCATAGATTTATTATTTTGTAGATTAGAGGCCATGATTTGTGAAAGCTGATTTTCAGTCAGATTTGGTGCAGTGCTTCTAATAACTGATATTATATCTTCAGAATGTTAGCATCCAGGCAAATGATTTTCATTGTTTTATTTACCCTGATACACATGTTGGGCATGTTCTGCTTGCTTCTATTTCATTTTTGGATTACGTTAACTGTTATACATTGCTCTACCGCACCTTTGACAGGTATGAGAAACATTAGGAACTACTTTATAGCAATTGTTATGCCTGATAACACCTTTTGGTTCAGTATCCTTCTGCACTATGCATACCTCTTTCACATTGAAAAATATAATGGCTGTTCCTTATTCTTGTCATGATATCCATTACATCCAGAAATATCTTTGAGATAATGAAACAAAACACTTATTGAATTTGCTTTGACTACCAGTTTTGAATTAGAACCGAGGAAAGTCTATGAATTTTCCAGCTACAGACATCCTTACTAATGCTGATTTCTATCATTATTGGGTTACCATTAAAAGTCTCCTTTGACCTACAACCAAGCTTGCAAACGCTTTCAGGTTTGACAAGCAGAAACCATTTTGATGGCTTCATGGTATTCATCGCTTCAAATGGAATAGACTGACTTTTTCCGCTTGATGTATTTATAGTTATACTTTGCATGCTACTTATCTTCATGCAGTGGGGCTCCGAGTGGTCGAGTGGTCTAAAGCGCTGTCTGTTACGGATCACTGCCATCTCACCTCTGTCTGCGTGGGTTCGAGTCTATGATTCGGCGAATGTGGATATCTGAGAAAGCTTGCTAGTAGCTTCTCGTGGGGCGGTGGTTCTTTCCGGTGATTTCCGGTTTCTTCCTCCACCATTAATACTGGCCGCCATGAATAGCCTATCGTGTGCTGAAAAATGGCGTTAAGCACAACAACAACAACAATCTTCATGCAGTACACTCTCAAACAAGACTTCTTTACATTTGGAAATATTTTCATTATTATGTTAGGTCCA